GAAGTGTTCTGTCATCACTACATGCTGTTAATTCCATCACATGAATTTTCCCACAAAATAAATATTTTTTCTGCATGAGTGATAGTATACTAATTTTTGTTGTTAATATCCTGTTCTTTCTAAAGTCCTTGAAAATGCTTTTTTGCTGTACAGAGATTTCCTGTTCTTTAACATTTTTTACCAGTCTTCTGCAATTCCTGGCTCCTACCTTAATTCACTGCTATCAAATCCATCTTTTTCAGTTCATAGCTGTTATTCACTTTCACAGTTCCTTTTTTTTTTTTTTTTTTTTTAAATTTCAACCACTTTGCTCATATTTTAAGAAATCATCCTTCTAAAGCAGTAAGAACACAGAATCCTTATTTTGGGCTTTACATCTGTCAAGGGAGTTATTTAGTCACGTTCATTTGCACAAACCAACCTTTAGGGTTTTTTTACTTTATTAATTCTTCAGCGTCAGTACGCATGAGGGCTGATACACCACCATTCCATCCTTCATATACAATTTCTGGCTCTCTTAAAGGTTTGGGGTAGATAGTCACATCAGGATTTGTAATTATTCTCAAAAAATTACTGAATAGGAATTGTTAAGTCATACTACTATGGTCAATTTTATGTATTTAAAGGAACATTTTGCTTTTGAGAGCGTAGTATGTACAAAGGAAATATTTTTCATTTGAGTTTAGGCTTCCCTTTTCAATTAAAAAATGTAAATTTCAATATGGGTTCCTTCATTAGACAGTTTGTTGTAGTGAAGCCAAGAGAGGCAGGGTGAGGCTGCTTATTGCTTTTAATTTTATTCTTCCCCACAGTAGTATTTACAATCCCGTTAAGGATCTTCTAGGCATGCAAAGACAAGTGCTTAACACATTCAGCTTCAGCATTCTAAAGCAGATACCTTTTACATCTTAAACACGTGATCCTCAATAGCTGTCCTGTTGTTCATGTAACCGGATCATTAAAACAAAGCCGAGTACACACAATGCTAATCTAGAAGGAAAAAGTTCTGTTTCCCTGAGGCCTTTTCTACATCCCTGGAGCACGGTCAGTCACCTTAAAACAAAAAAATCTGGGTGCTGCGTAGCTGTGATGCTCTAACATGAGTGAAATGTTCAGTACTGTCTTTTTGATTGCACATATTGTTTTGCTTCTCTAAGCCAAAATTAAATTATTGAAGCTTATTAAATTCTTGCCTGAGCTGGATCTAATTTAATAGGAAATATTTAAACCTCAAGCAAGTTACTTTTTTTTTTTTGGTGGCTCAGCAATATACTAGCTCAGAAAGAAAAACGAACTCTGTATTTGAAATCAGAGCCAGTAGAATGAACACCCCATTTCAATAAAACTTGAGAACAACAGAAAGAATGCTAGAAGACAAGTGAGAAAGGGGAGATCCAGAGGGGCAAAAGCAGGCTAAGTTAAGCTTTAAGGAAGATAAAGTAAAGTATCTGTCCAGATTCTTTAGAATCCATGCCACAAACAACTCCTCCACAAGAACAGCAGAATTGCCAAGAGAACAAGGATATCTGCCGATGGCAACATGAGCAGCATTGCAATTTCACATCAAGGTGAAAGACACTAAAGACCACCCTGCAGTGCAGCCTGATGGCACAGCAGCATTTTTGACATTCCAGTGTTTTACCTGTAGCTCATTTCCTAAGGAATTCAGCAAAACAACTGACTGACTGACCTTGCCTGTAACCGCTGACCACACTTTCAGCGTGTTGTCATCAGAGCCACTCACTATTCGGTTCCCGCAGAACTGAAGGCAGGTGATCACGTGGTCATCGTGGCCTTTGAGCACCTGGCGATAAAGGACATAAAAACGTACAGTGACAATTTAAAGCGGGAGATTAGAGAGAAGCAGGAGAAACAAAGTGCTCTTCTGATTCATAAATTATCAGATGCTAGAGTTGCTTCAATAATAATAAGGCCCCCTAATCCCGCGTGTCAAGTCTAATTTACCGCCAGCTGGGACCAAAGAAGGTATTTTCCTTCTGCCATAGAGTGATACTGCATTGCTCAGCAAGCCCACTACCGTTACTGTAAGCCTCCTAACAGTACCAAGAAAAACCACTCAGAAGAGGAGGCTGAATTAGTAACTGGACATTGCTCAATTAATCTGCAGTTATTCCATCGCTTTATTTTTCAGTTGAGTTACTTTTACCTTTTAAGAGTTGTTTCAATCTTGAACAAAAAGGATGAGGTTGTATTATTTGCTGCATATTTGTATTTTAGTGGTCAAGGCTGACTATCTATTATTTTTTTCCTTACCAGCCAAGCACTGTCATCTATTAAATGCCACGTAGCACCAAGGTCAAAAATGAGACAACCATTAGCTCAATTAAATACAAACAAAAGTGATAATTTAATGTACTGGAAATATGGATTGGAATGTTGCTTTACAGAGGTGGGATCGTCAATTTCCCAAATCACTTGATTTGGGAAAAACTGCAATTCAGTATATTTTACTGCAATACAGCAAAAAAAAAATCCTTCTCAGAATACATACGGTAAGGAATTTTTTATTTAAGATATCTGAACACTTTTCAAGATGTTCATCGAAATGAAATGGGCATTTGGATAATGCCTGAGGCTGTAATTTTAATAATAATTCCAAGATAACTTGATGTGGCGCATTGAGGCAAGAAACAAGAGCCGTTGCCAGAGATGTACATAAGTCATGGCCAAATAAACAGCAAGCTATAGCCATACATTTTCCAGGGGAATTTTTTGTTCTTATTTTATTATTTTGTACAGTAAGCAAGAAAACAGGCAAATTGCCTTAAAACTGTAAAAAGCTATGAGGATGGGTTTTCTTCATGTTTCTGGCTGCTTCTTTGATACCAGGTTTGATTAGAGAGTTGCTATTTTATTTTACAAAAGGTTTGAAGTATTGCTTCATATCTTCATATTGGAAAAGATGCAATGATAACATATCAATGTCATTACAGAATTTTAATATTTTTAAAAAACCCAACAAAAAAATCTTAACAGGGAAGGAAGTTACTGTCTTGTGCTGCTCAATTTAGAAAAATACGTATAAAGAATCAAATGATCACAGAATATTGTGGAGCATTTTTATGTTGTGACATGGCCGAGCTCTATATGTACACACACACATATATATATATATATTACATTGTATGTTTAATTTTAACTGTAACTAATTTCCAATCAAGTTTCTGAGATTATCTGTCTCAATAAGACCAGCACATTTCTAGGAATTCACTGAATTGTACAGAAATATTTAGAACAGCAGTGGAAGAACTCTGCTGTATGAAGAATCACATTTTGATTTGCTAATATTGTGCTCAGAAATTAATTTAAACCCAGGGTAAGCTATAATACAAATTACTGCTTTTTGTGCATGGATAGTCTGGCTTGTCTGAAGGAAAAAACCAAACCTACGAGTTGATCCCGCTTTGTTCACAGCACCGTGCACACAACTCAGAATCTTACCTTAGGCGATTTAAGTTCTCCTCGCCGCCAGTTGGTATCAATCCTGTGCTGTCTGATGTAGGCGCTTTTCCACGGACTGTGTATAAAGCCTGGTTTTATTACTTTCCTCCTCTTGATATGTAATGGTTCATCAATCCCTACAATGAATTACAAAAAAAGGGGGAGGGGGAGAGATGAGGCCACCCCACAGAAAACAACTCTCCCTCCCAAACCTTGACAGTGACCTCTGACATTAAACACTGCATTGACAGAACAACCTCCCGCATGCCAATATTTGCCTTGCGTGTCAGTGACACCGCCCAGCTCCTCAGCTTTTTATACTACATCTTCCCTTGTTGTTTAAGCATAATCATTACTGTAACCACGGCTGAAAATGTTCTAGTTCATCATTCCTTGATGGCAACCTACCAGCTTGTTCTGAATCCCCTTTTCCGAGGCAATGTAGCAGAATATTGCCTTTTTTTCAAATTAGTATCGTCTGACAAGCTCCATAACTACCCATACACTCATTTTGGAAACCTTCAAAAAGTAAACCTTGCTGTCTGCAGTCCTCCTCTCTGGTCATCCATCTTCATTAACTTGAAGTTCACCGTGACTCTTGGTATATTAGTGAGCTTTTAATTCTTTTCTTGGTTTGAAAGGCTGTGTGCTTTAGGCATTGTCCTCCCCTGGCTGGAATTTAAGTATAGGTATGCCTTTTCTGAACCGACACTTAAGCAGCAGTGCTTTGTTTTAGCCTTGCTACTACAGATATATCTGGGGTTTTTACAATTCTCTCACCCATCTCTCTTCTCTGCAGTTCCTCTCTCTACTGCATCTCATTACTACCAACAGTCTTGTCTCTTGCCAGTATATGGATTTCAATCTTCTGCTTTTAGCCCCTTCTCTGGTGTCTCTATCTGCAAGTCTTGAATTAACTGCTCCTTCATATTCCTGAGCACCTCACTAAGTCTGAGGAGTCTACAATACTGTTTTGCTTGTCTGTGTTCTCATGCCTGGCCATATTTATTTTTATTTCTAAGCTCACAAATGTAGGCTCATTCCCCTCTTAACCTCCTTTTTTCTCATTCTGTCCTTTTAATGCATTTTCACTGAAATTTGTAAGAGGAGAATCTTTAGAGAAGATTTAAGAGGTTAGACACTTGGTTTCCACTGCAAAAGAAAACTAATTAATTTAGGTGCCTTTACAAATAGCCAGCTACATGCACATTGTCGTTTTTTTAAAGCCTTTGCATCGACCCCTCACAAGTTCTTGTCTCCATAGTCTGAGGCAGCGTGGACAGGACCCTGTGTTTGCTCATGTTCAAGAGAGATACTGCTCTTGAGATCACATGCAACTGCTCTGCCCCCCAGAAAAGACTCCTTGTTCATTTAATTCTCCTTAAAAATAAAAAATTACATTCTTCATGTGCTCAAATATGTGGCTACTTTCCTGGGAACCTTTTTTTGCCC